GCATGAAACCACTATGACTATTTCATCACTCATAAAGAGGACAAGATCTGGAATGATAGAATCATGAAGACCGCGAAAGGTACTGGAACAAGATGGCATACATGTAGTTGAATAAATCTGTGTGCAAATATTAAAGTCGGCACGAGACAAAAATCGTCCAGAATTGGCCAATCGGTAGGATGTCGTCTTCCATCAAGACAACGCTAAATCTTATATTTCTTTGCAAACTCGGTTGAAATTTGTACAAAACGTAGTGGAACAAAATTTCGCATATGCAGTTGAATAAATTTATATAGAAAAAAACTACATATTATTTTTGAAATTCACTTAAAAACAACCGTCATGAACCCTTGTTTCGACTCAATGTTCAATTAAATAAAAAAAAAACGACTTAAATAATTTTCACTGCTTTAAAACTGCTCTCTATTACCCACCAGAGAGAACCATCCCTGCCCCACATTAGAATGTCTGACGCTCAACTTCTCGAGAGCACCTCTTTGCGACTGCTCGGTCTTTCATTGACCTGAGATAAAACAAATACATTGAGTCAATTGCTTCGTCCACCGCAAGGTAAGTTGGCTCCCTGTGCCGCGCCAGGAAATTTTTCTCGCCGGAGTCGATCCTTCAAATTTACAAATCAACCATTCGCCCTTTCATGGAGTATTGCTGCCATATATGATCTGGAGCCCCTTCTGTTTGTCTCAAGGTTCTTGATAAAATCCAAAGACGAATATGCAATGCAATTGGCCCTGATCTGGCATCTCGTCTGCAGTCGCCCTCTCACAGACGTGCCGTCGCCACCCTCTGTCTTTTTAAACAAATACTTTCACGGTAACTGCTCCGATGAGCTGCATTCGCTGGTTCCCAGACTTCATGAATTTAAGCGTTCAACTAGGCTGGCATCTCGCTCTCACCCTTTCACTGTCGAAACTGTTAAATGTAGCTGTCTCGTCTACTCCAATAGCTTCATGTCTCGCACTTCTCGCCTGTGGAACTCCCTCCCCATTTCTTGTTTTCCTGATAGCTATAATCTCCAACTATTCAAATGTAATGTCAATCGACGTCTTCAGATGCCTTGATCTACCCCCCTATCCTTCTCTTCATCCTTTCCTTTATCACTCCTTTTTGCTCTCGCTCCAAATCTCTGTAACCCCTTGTGTGCTAGTGGCTTCCAGCCTTGCTTGGGGTGAAACGCTTTTTAAAAAAATACGTGTTGGTAATGACATTCATTATTATCAAGTAATGTCTTCATTTGATTTCCATCAATTTCAACTCGTTTATCCGACTATGGAATATCATTTGATTTCCATCAATCTCAACTTGTTTATCCGACTATGGAATATCATTTGATTTCCATCAATCTCAACTCGTTTATCCGACTATGGAATATCATCTGATTTCCATCAATTTCAACTCGTTTATCCGACTATGGAATATCATCTGATTTCCATCAATCTCAACTCGTTTATCCGACTATGGACTATCATTTGATTTCCATCAATCTCAACTCATTTATCCGACTATGGAATATCATTTGATTTCCATCAATTTCAACTCGTTTATCCGACTATGGAATATCATTTGATTTCCATCAATTTCAACTTGTTTATCCGACTATGGAATATCATTTGATTTCCATCAATTTCAACTTGTTTATCCGACTATGGAATATCATTTGATTTCCATCAATTTCAACTCGTTTATCCGACTATGGAATATCATTTGATTTCCATCAATTTCAACTCGTTTATCCGACTATGGAATATCATCTGATTTCCATCAATCTCAACTCATTTATCCGACTATGGAATCATTTGATTTCCATTTGAACTTTTATCCGACTATGGAATATCATTTGATTTCCATCAATTTTCAATTTTTATTATCCGACTATGGAATATCACTAGTGAATCCTCCAGTACGAATCCTTGCAAATTGTTTCTGAAACCTTCGATCATTTGAAGCACCTACAAATATTATCTACTTTGGGTTCGGCTTCGTATTTTTACCTTACTTGAAATTGACGAGAAAAAAAAAAGACGCATATCCTGATGGAAATACTGCTCATTTTTCTTTATAGTCAATTTTGTCAGCGTTTTTATTCAGAATACACGCTGAAATATCAGCGTTTACAATTCAATCAAGAGCGATCATTTTGAATGGAGTCATATAAAACTAAACACCCCTAATGCCATTGGACGAAGCACACTTGCAGGCCAGTAGTAAGGGTAGACGGATCTGATTTGCTAACGACTATTTCTCGGTAAAAGTTGTATCTTACATCTCTTGATATATTTAGAAAGTTTAACTTCATCTTTCAAAAAATGACTCGTGTTTAGCACCTAGTGCGGATCGAACTCAATATGGTTTTAATGATCGACCTGACTAACTCGCTAATCCCCGTTTTTCTGGAAGGTGTAATATTTTACATCACTTGGTATATTTACGAAGCTTATCGTAGGCTTGCAAAAGACGACTTCAGTGTGGCACCCAGTGCGGATCGAATTTAATACAGTTGTAATTGTTGGCCAGTCTAAATGCTAATCCCTGTTTTTCTAGCAAGTGTAATATTCTAGATATCTTGGTATATTTATGAAACTTATCTTAATTTGGAAAAAGACGACCTACCTGTAAGTGACACCCAGTGCGGATCGAACTCAATACAATAATTGTCATCTATCTACGTTGGTAATCCCGATTCATCTATCAGGTGTTAGATCTCTTGATACGAAGATTACTTTAATCTGTTACAAGACGATGATTTGGGCCACCTAGTGAGGAATGATTTAAATTATACTTATAAAGGGTCAAACTGCTTTGTAACCAATGAACCTTCTCAATATCAGTCCCACACTCTAACCATTCACATTATCTTATCATTTTATTGTTAATCAAATAGACATTTGGGATCTCAGTGGTCTGTAGTTTCTTTTCAGAAATGATTTTCTTCGGCCTGCCGTGTTCCTTCAGGATGTGGTTAATCATGGCTCTCCACAACTTCCTATCCTTTGTAGATCACAGTAAGATTTTATCATTTTGATATCCCTCCTAATCTCTGTTCTGTCAACCATCTACACAACCATGTTGAATAGGTTTATTCACTGCTTTACTCTGCTTTTGATATATCCTGTGAGTGTCACATTCTCCAAGCCATCTTTCCTCGTCGTACGCGGTAGAGATTCCAATTGCCTCTTTCTGATTCTAAATATAAGTCTCCTTTTTGTTTCCATTTTCCTTAAAACTTCTTCGTTGGTCACATTGTCAGTCCAGGGTATTCTCATCCTCCTCCTGTAGAACTAGATTTCTGTTGCCACAAGTCTCTTCATCATCTGTGAGATTATTCCGTATTTACGACTATATAGGAGGACTTGGAGAAAATGGAAGCCAAAAGGAAACTTATACTTAACATCAGGAAGCGGCAGTTGAAATTTCTGTGGCACGAAATGAGGAAAGAGGGCTTGGAAAATCTGATACTCACAGGACAGATTGAGTGAAAGAGGCACAGAGAAAAGCAGCGTGTAACGTACTTGATGTTGCTTGAGTAAATCGATAGCAAACCAAGGTTGGGAAGAAATAACAAAAAAAAATTATTAAGTGTTACAAGAGACAGGAAGATGTGGAGGGAGATGATCACCTACGTCATGAAGGGACACGGCACATGAAGAAGATATTATATATCAGTACAGTGTAACCCGGATATAAGAGACCCGGATATAAGAGAAACCCGGATATAAGAGAGATTTTCTCTGGTCCCAAATTAGAGCCTGTGTTAATGTATATAAATTAGACCCGGATATAAGAGAAACCCGGATATAAGAGAGATTTTATCTGGTCCCAAATTAGAGCCTGTGTTAATGTATATAAATTAGATCCGGGTATAAGAGAAACCCGGATATAAGAGAGATTTTATCTGGTCCCAAATTAGAGCCTGTGTTAATGTATATAAATTAGATCCGGGTATAAGAGAAACCCGGATATAAGAGAGATTTATCTGGTCCCAAATTAGAGCCTGTGTTAATGTATATAAATTAGATCCGTAGAGAAACCCGGATATAAGAGAGAGATTTTATCTGGTCCCAAATTAGAGCCTGTGTTAATGTATATAAAATTAGATCCGGGTATAAGAGAAACCCGGATATAAGAGAGATTTTATCTGGTCCCAAATTAGAGCCTGTGTTAATGTATATAAATTAGATCCGGGTATAAGAGAAAACCCGGATATAAGAGAGATTTTATCTGGTCCCAAATTAGAGCCTGTGTTAATGTATATAAATTAGACCCGGATATAAGAGAAACCCGGATATAAGAGAGATTTTATCTGGTCCCAAATTAGAGCCTGTGTTAATGTATATAAATTAGATCCGGGTATAAGAGAAACCCGGATATAAGAGAGATTTTATCTGGTCCCAAATTAGAGCCTGTGTTAATGTATATAAATTAGATCCGGGTATAAGAGAAACCCGGATATAAGAGAGATTTTATCTGGTCCCAAATTAGAGCCTGTGTTAATGTATATAAATTAGATCCGGGTATAAGAGAAACCCGGATATAAGAGAGATTTTCTCTGGTCCCAAATTAGAGCCTGTGTTAATGTATATAAATTAGACCCGGATATAAGAGAAACCCGGATATAAGAGAGATTTTATCTGGTCCCAAATTAGAGCCTGTGTTAATGTAGACATATAGACCAAACCCGGATATAAGAGAAACCCGGATATAAGAGACTTCTTCTCCGGTCCCGACAACTCTCTTACATCCGGGTTACACTGTACTATTTTTCTTTGTTTTTAACGAAATTTTCCTGTTTCTTAATACTTTGCTTAGCTTTTTGGAAGCCAGTTTTAAAGAAGTTATATTAGAATTAAAACTAAGAATGTTGTTCGCTGACGGGCATTATTGACGGGCATTATTGACGGGCTTGCCGTAGTGTGAGATTGAAGACAAGGGCGTTGGGTTTTAGGGATGAGACTAAAGTAATTGTTTACCGTTTAGGTGTAGTATTATTCCGAGTGATAGCAAGGGAAATAATAAGTGTACTCATAGTTGTATGTCGACACTATTACTGGCTGATGCGAGTTTACGAGCTGGGAAATGAAAGTCAAGAGACTGACGGAATGAAGGCGGCGGCAGTGCTGGTGGTGGTGAATTGATGAGTGATGGAGTGAAGTGGGTGGGAGGTTGGCTAAGAGTCTCGAAAATTGGGAGGAACTAAGAAGGGCAATGGAAAAACGTATTAAAAGCGGAGAAGAACATATAAGAAAGGGAAGGAGAACTGTTGACTTGGTGTGAGGTATGAAAAGAATCGACCAATGAGAAGTGAGAATTAGATGGAGGGGGGATGAGAAGGAAAAGAAAGAAAGAAAGAAAGAAAGAAAGAAAGAAAGAAAGAAAGAAAGAAAGAAAAAAGAAAGAAAGAAAACTGAAATATCAAACTCACAACATCAAATGGGGTGGGGACGAAAACGAAAGAAAAAAAAAAGAGGTTCTTAAGGGAAAATAAAAAAACAATTAAATTGATAAATGTCATAAAGAAAAATGAATGAATGAATTATAAAAGGTAAATTGTGAAGAAATAAAGAAATGAATGAAAGTGAAAACGGATAAAAAAGATATGAAGAAAGAGATTAAGAAAGAGAGATAGAAAGAACGAAAATAGGAAGAAAAAAGAAAAGATAATGAAAGATGAATAATTAAAGTGATGAATAAAGAAAAAAAAGAAAGATGAAGAAAGAAAAAAGAAGGGGATGAATAATTAAAGCGATAAAAAAGAAAGAAAGAAAGAAAGAAAGAAAGAAAGAGAGAAAAAAAGAAAGAAAGATAGAGAGAAAGAAAGAGAGAAAAAGAGAAAGAAAGAGATTATGAAGAAAAACAAAGAAAGGGACGAGGAGGAGAAAAAGAAAGCCACGAAGAAAAAAATTAAAGGAAAATGTAAGAAATAAAAGAAAAAAAAGAAGAGAATGATGAAAGTGATGAAGAAGGAGTTTAAGAAAGAAAGAAAGAAAGAAAGAAAGAAGATTAAAGGGATGGAAGACGTAAAGGAATTAAAAAAGAAAGAAAGAAAGAAAGAAAGAAAGAAAGAAAGAAAGAAAGAAGATTAAAGGGATGGAAGACGTAAAGGAATTAAAAAAGAAAGAAAGAAAGAAAGAAAGAAAGAAAGAAAGAAAGAAAGAAAGAAAGAAAGAAAGAAGATTAAAGGGATGGAAGACGTAAAGGAATTAAGAAAGAAAGAAAAAAGAAGAAAAGAAAGAAAGAAAGAAAGAAAGAAAGAAAAGAAGAAAGAAAGAGAGAAAAGCAAGGTTAAAGAAGAGCTAGAAAATGGAAAAGGGAAAGAAAGAAACAAACAAACAATGGAAGAAAGAAAGATAGAATGAGTGATGAAAAAAGAAAAAGAAAGAAAGAGTTGAAGAAAAAGAAAGAATGAGATATAAAATGGAAGAAAGAAAGGAAGAATGAATGATGAAGAAAGAAAAAGAAGGTAACAGTTGAAGTCAAAAGGAAACGTTTAAGAAAGAAAGAAAGAAAGAAAGAAAGAAAGAAAGGAGCAAGCAAACAAACAAATGACACGTACGCACCCACACTATTCACAACACAAGTCTTAACATTTTATTTGTTGTAAAAGTTTGTTGCTTAGTCGCAACTACTGCCGTGAGTTAATACCATAACTGTCTGGAGTTCTTGGTAGCAGTCACAGTGAAAGTATATTACTACTAGTAGTAGTAGTAGCAGTAGTGATAGCAGTTTGGAAAGTAAGTGTTAATGGTTGTGGGGTGTCGACCCTTCTCTCTCTCTATTGGGCTTATGTCACACGAGGTGAGGAAGCGATTGCGCTAACTACATTCATTATTCGGACAGGCCTCACGGGTCCTTTTCTTAGTTTAGCCGGGCGAACGAGAAAGAAGGAAGCGCAAATACAGCGGTCCAACTCAAGAGGAAGGGAAACCCAACTGAACAAAAATGATAATATTAAAATAAATAGATAAAAAAAAAAGGAAAAAGCCGAAGGAAAAAAAAAACAACAGAAAAGGGGTATATACCTATTTCTTTTATATATATACTGATGTTGTTTATTTGGAGAAAAGAGAAACAGCACACACCGATGTACGGATTTTTTTAAGGCCTCGGAATAACCACTTTGGAAAAAAAAATAACTAACACAAGGAAAATATCCTGGTTATTTAGAAATCTTTGTGTAAAAACAAGTGAGTCGGTACCTACGTATTTATTTATATCCTTACTACAATCATATACTTACATATTACAACAACAATAGTACTACTAAATAACGTAAGTAAAAATTATCCTTTTTAAATTATCCTTTTTAAATATTTCCTAAACAAAACACTTACACTACGTACGTAAAATAACAAACAATTTATATTTAAAGCCGAAAAAAAAATATCCCAATTTCGCATATGACTAACAGTGGACATAAATAAAAACCAGTTCTTTTGTTTTTTAAATCAATTAAATTCGATACGTAATAAACTTTAATTTAATTTTTTTCCGTAAAAAACAGACAACACTGTTTCGTTCGTATAAAGTTGTGTAAAACAGCAATATCTTACATATTTTTACAAACAGAATTTCACTTGCTTAAATAAATAACATTCTCTACTCAACTCAAAACACATCGATAAGAAACGATTATTAAAATTAAAAAAAAAAACTCACTAATAACGTAAATCTTTTCTATTTCTTTTAGACAAACGATATTCTTTCTTTCTTTTCATTTAAATCGTATTTTTAGCAAATTAAAGAAATATCCACCTGATTTCTCAACTTAAAACTTCAAATATAGCTCATTAAGTAAATAAATAAATCCACATCGACTTCCTTTAGATTTAAAAACATTTAATTTCTATATTTTTTAGTTAAAAAAAATTTTTTTTTGGAGATGTAAACATTTTCATAACGTGAGATATCTTTTTTTTTTTAAGGCATCAGGCATTGTTTCATTAAACACTAGATTATTCATTGTTTTAAATTTTATTTTACTCCCTCTTTTTTTTTCTTTTAGAATGAAATAAAACCTTGGTTCTAGCAGCATTTTTTTTTAGAGAAGCAACAGACGTTTATTTACGTTTACGAAGACGAAAACACACGTGTCTTTATCGACCCTTTTTGACATTCAAAAAAGAAAAAAACGTTGTCAGTCAGAGAAACAATGTTTTAAATTGTACTGAGTTTTCATACCCACAATAACTGTTAGATTTTATTGAAGATCAAGTGACAACAAGCTCAACCTGTATTTAAAATTTTCGTTATCGTGAACACGTTTTTTATCAGTCTTGTGTATTGCGGTTTGTTTTATGTACGTTAGTTGAGAGTATAAATAGTACACGTAAATATTTACTTGTTAGATAAAAAAAATACGTCAGTAACACTACTTATAGACTTTAAAAAATATTTCATTTTCAACATTCCAATTGTTTTATATAATTTCTTTTTGAAATATTTAAATAACACAAGGACTGACAACATAAGCTTGTAGACGTACAGTTTTCAAATATTCATATATATAAAAGAATTAAAAGTATATACCCCAAAAGAAAAATTAATTCATCTAAATGAAAATCAATGATATTATACAAAAAACGTAGTCTAGTAAAAAGAATGAACGCAAGTAACAAGCGGTTGTTAATACGCCCCGAGAAACACAAATAGAAACTTTCTCACATATGAAAAACTTATAGAAGTTATATAAATACTGGTTTTATATTTGTATTCTGATATAAGGGTTATCGGCATGTTTTCGTCTAAGAAATATGTTTAAATAAAATTTCGCGTAGAGCACTTCACGTAAAAAGCAAATAACAAACAAATAAAAAAGTCACATACAATAGTAAAGTTCTAAATAAACATACACAATAAATATCAAACATTCACTCGTAAATTAAATAAAGAAGTCAATAAACTCGTGTTTTACCTATCTCACTAAAAAAAAATAAGTAAGTCCCAACCTCAGCTATATTAGCGTTTCATTCATTTTTACAAATATTCATTACAAGATACAAAACATAAGTTAAGCTAAGTATATTTCGCACACAAACGCGTCCGTAAATTTTCAGCTACAGGTGCTCTTTTAAGCGCCAATTAGCGAACATGTCTGGCTTGGGCACACACCGGCGGCTAACACGGGAGTTGTACGAGGGTAGCCGTCTATGTCGAGTGTGCTTGGCCGAAGATGGTGTGAAATGGACGTATATGTCACCGGGTAGCAGTCATCAGGACCCGGGTGTCAATGGGGCGAACGAAGAAAGGAGTGCCTCAGGAAAACCGGGCAATAAGTACGCGTCGACTTTTTTCTCAAATAACAATAATCAGAACTGCAGTAACAAGAAGGCACCCGACGACGAAGAAATCGGAGGTAAGTTGTTTTATATTTATTTATTTATTTATTTATTTATAAGATACTCTGAACATGGCCACAATGTACTGGCCGTATTCGGGACTTACGAATGCGTTTACATTTCAGCAACATATTAAAACATCACTTACCCACCATTTACATTGGACAGCCAAAATCCTTGAGATTTGCCGAAAGCGCTCGTAACGATACTATGAACACGGCCACAATATACTGGCCGTATTTGTTAATTAAGAATACCTTTACATTTCATTCATTTCATCAGGTTATAAACAGATTACAACAGCAATGACACACCCTTTTCAACAGTACCTTCAAAATCCTTGAAAATAGCTAACTGATTAGCAGAAAGCGCTCGTAACGATACTATGAACACGGCCACAATATACTGGCCGTATTTGTTAATTAAGAATACCTTTACATTTCATTCATTTTATTAGGTTATAAACAGATTACAACAGTAATGACACACCCTTTTCAACAGTACCTTCAAAATCCTTGAAAATAGCTAATTGATTAGCAGAAAGTGTTAATTAAGAATACGTTGACATTTCAGCAACCAGATTACAATAGCTCTGGCACATTGTTTGCAATAGTCCAACCAAAATCCTTTCGTGGCGAAAGATCATTTGCAGTGACGGGCTGGCTAGGATGTCAGGTTGATTGATGGCAAGTGGGCCCCTGATAGATTGAGGCCCCTGTATCAAACAAAAATGCAAAAAACAAAGACAACCTTATAAAGTTTTTAGTCATTTATTATTATTAAAACAATAATAATAAATGACTAGAAACTTTATAAAGTCACCTGTACACTATCAGTTACTCAAGTCCAACGTGAGAGGAGATTTTCAAAGCTAAAGATCATAAAGACAATGTTAAGAAATTCGGTGTCTGAGGAGAATCTGGAATCATACATGTTGCGCAGAGTAATGGCTAGTGGCTCGGATTGAGGAATCGGAGAGCCGAGTTCGAATTCCAGTCGAATCCATTACTTACGTGCTAATAACCTTGGGAAAGGTGAATCCTCCTCTTCTCCCCCCAGCTATGGGTAAATAGCAGAACAGACCGGGTTCTATAGCCTTGGATGGCAATTGGTCTACCGCAGAAAGAAATGGCAACCTTCTGCGGGAAAAAAAAATCTGCCTCGTCAGTCATGTATCGAAAGATACATGATCGCCTATGCGTGCATCACGCATGGCACATAACTGACTTGTTGCTCTCCATTGAAAGAGGATTTTTAGATAAATTGATGCAGAAGCAATTATTGTCAGATTCAAAACACAAACAATCTTATTTACATTATTCGGACCATTTTCCTCATCTTTGTCGCCATATTTATTACAACGTGTCGGCCGTTGTACGCTCCGGCCTTCCTAAGGTGGTTGGAATGTCGAACTGAACACTTCATTTCGCTCACTGGGGTAGATTGTTTTAGTTTAATGTCAGTTATCAGTTATCTCCTGTTAATTTCCCTCTGAAAGTTCTCCACTGCCTTGGCCATTCCAACCACCTGAAGAAGACCAGAGCGTACAACGACCGAAACGTTGTAATAAATATGGTGACAAAGATGAGGACAATAGTCCGAATAATGTAAATAATGTACATAATACCTCATCTCAGAAATATAGACAGATACAAACAATCTTAATATAGTGGACTTCATTGCTTTTGAACTATCTTTTAATGTGAAAATTGTGTAGTGAATTACTTTATATCAATCTTGAAATTTAAAAAAATTGAAATTTTAAAAAAATTAAATTATAAAATTCTGGCATCTACTGCCAATAATATGTACAGTATATGTACACAGCAATTACTAGGAAATATATATTTTTCTCACAAATATTTAATTTTTTTAAAAATTTCTTTTATTCGTTACGAAAATTAAATGATAGCATTCTAGTTGTGGGTACACGCGATTTGTCTCTCAATAGACCCAGTGAGCTGCTAATCATTTGAACAACTTCTACACACATTGAATAAAAAAAAATGTTTTGTTCCTACACAAGAAAAAAAAAATATAACAGAAATATTATATCGGTATTTTTATGAAACATGTATTAGAGAAGGTATGCTACCGAAATTAATTGGTTAATTAAATGACCACAATCGGGATCATAGTGGTATTCACGATCCTTTTTTTAGTTGCATAGTATGCGCTTCGTCGAATTTTGCTTGAATTCAGACTTGTCGTTACTGCAATCTGGTCACTATCCAAGACTGATGATCCAAATCTGCCATAGAATTTAACCTACAATTGCAGACAGAAGACATGGACGCATATCTTTCACCGGGGTTATTTACACGAAAGACAAGATAACAAAACCCGATTGGAATTCGAACTCAACTCTCGCATGTCTCATTTACAGCCGCTATCCATTACACCATCCACACATCCTAACGCTCAAATACGCTCAAATTATCTATCTATCTATCTATCTATCTATCTATCTATTCATATATGTCTCAGTATCTATCTATCTATCTATCTATCTATCTATCTATCTATCTATTCATATATCTCAGTATCTATCTATCTATCTATCTATCTATCTATCTATCTATCTATCTATCTATTCATATATGTCTCAGTATCTATCTATCTATCTATCTATCTATCTATTCATATATGTCTCAGTATCTATCTATCTATCTATCTATCTATCTATATGTCTCAGTATCTATCTATCTATCTATCTATTTATCTATTCATATATGTCTCAGTATCTATCTATCTATCTATCTATCTATCTATCTATTCTCTCTCTCTCTCTCTCTCTATCTATCTATCTATTCATATACAGTGTAACCCGGATATAAGAGACCCGGATATAAGAAAAACCCGGATATAAGAGAGATTTTATCTGGTTCCAAATTAGAGCCCATACTTACCTAAACAAAATAGACCAAACCCGGATATAAGAGAAACCCGGATATAAGAGACTTCTCCGGTCCCGACAACTCTCTTATATCCGGGTTACACTGTATGTCTCGGTATCTATCTATCTATCTATTTCACTCTGTTCATATATATCTCAGTATCTATGTATATATCCGTCTGTCTGTCTATCTATCTATCTATCTATCTATCTATCTATCTATCTATTTCTTCAAACTTTACTATAATGAATACTCGTATTTAAAATACGAGAAGAGGTGGATTCAAGCCTTTCCCAAGTGTATTTGCACATAAGTGAATATAACGGACTAGACTGGATTTCGAACTCGACTCTCCGATTTCAAATTCCGAGTCGTTCTCCATTACACCAACCGCACAACTAAGCTTTCAGCATTTGTTATTCCCAAGCGGCCACCCGTTGCTTAATTGCTGTGATCGTACAGGAACCATTGATTCAACGTGATATGGCCGTAAACCCCCAAATATTAACAAGTAGGAGAATTACGTTAGAAAACAAATAATAGAGTTCTGAATGTAATATCAATCCTCCTATATGGTAGTGAATGCTGGACAATCTCCTCCTAGACGAAGAAGTGACATATATGTAGACAGTATGGTTCTACAGCAGGATGCTCAGAATACCATGGACTGAACATGTGACTAACGATAAAGTTTTAAGGAAAATAGAAGCAGAAAGGAAACTTATACTTAGAATCATTGTCATGGAGGATTTTGTTCTATTAAACTACAAAAAACTCCTACAGAAGTTAGCGTAAGAAAGCGAGAAGAAAAGATTAAACATCAACTGCCAGAAGAGAGAATTCATGGTTGCTAGCAAAAAGCATGAACCCAAAATGCGAATTGCAAATCAGAGATACCAAAATCAAACAAGTGCGGAAATTTAAATATCTGGGGAGTGTTTTAACAGAGGACGGAAAGGTTGATATTGAAATCCGATGGCTTATTGAGAAAGGTGCTTTCCAAAAGCTCAGCACAGAACCAAGAAATGGGAAAATTTCGCTAGAAACAAAGAAAAAAAAGTACTAAACTTCTATGTGATGCCTGTCTTCGTGTATGGCAGTGAGTGCTGGACGATTTACTTAAAGATGAAAAGGAGGTCTGAAGCAAAAGAAATGTGGTTCTACA